ACCAATTGCGTAAGCATTTCTTGAAATAGTATCATGTCGTCACCATTACTTTTTATTTCGCGAATTCTTCTGCCATTCTTTCCTTTGCGAGTGTGTGTGATTGGCGAAAAATTGTTTCATGGAATAAGAAATGCTGTTCCTCTGTTTGAAAATGCTTTGCACTGCACATATGTATGCACTGTACCTTTTTTTTTTTCAATTTTGTTTCCCTGTATTTATTAATGCATTTATCTCTGATATTTTTTGTTTCGTACTTACTCCCCTTACTCAATGCCCTATCGGGCCCTGTAAGGTATCATGAATAAATAAATAAATAAATTGTGGAACGTTTCCGTTTCCGCTGCATGGTGGCCATAAAAAGGGTCAACCTGGCCTGCAACAACTGGGGCACGACACTTTTCTCGGCCCATGCTCACCCTTATACATGTACCAGGTTAGTTACCTAGGTGGAAGTAAATGTTATCGCTCCAACAATCCTATGTTTTTAAGAGTGTCGTGCCCCATTAACAAGCGACAACTTTTATGTTGTCTTAATCATGTGAGCGTGTGTTTTATTGATGCTGTGCTCTTTTTGCTTTGCGATGGATGCTTGATGCTTTTTCAATTTTTTATACTTTTATCTGGAGACGTAGAGTTAAATCCAGGACCCATGAGTGCGGCAGAGCGTGAGCAAATAACGAACAGCGAGAGGATTCTTCTAGAAATGCAAACGGGCCAGGAAACTGTGCTTGCAAAGTTAACAGAAATCACAACTAAACAAAGTGAACTGGAATCCAAAATAATGAATTTAATACAGAAAACAAACCTTGTGGAAAGTCGCATCACTCGTGTGGAAAAAATTGAAGACAAATTATTGGCGAAAGTGGACGAATTAGAGAATAGAACCCATAGACAGAACTTGGTTTTTCTTTGGTGTGCCTGATACGGAAAAAAATTAGACTTGGGAAACGTCAGAAAACTTAATTAAAGGAATATGCAAAGATGCGATGAAACTCGACGACATATCAATTGAGCGGGCTCAACGCATAGGGGCTTTTAAGGAAACCAAGAACCGGCCCATTGTAGCGTGCTTTTCGCAATGGAAGGCTAGAGAAACTGTCTTTAAAAATGCTTTCAAGCTAAAGGGTACTTCGTACAGTATTTCCGAGGATTTCAGCCAGGCCGTGCAGGAAAAAAGGCGACAGCTGTGGAACTATGCGAAAGATAAAAGAGAATGCAAAGAAAACCGTGTACGTCTGAGTTATGATACACTGATTATCAATGGGCAAGCTTTTGTCTGGGATAGCGACACGCAGATGGCGGTTCCAGTGAGGGCGCATGCGCAAATGGATAGAGGCAAATGACCTACACTAAATACTGTTTCCCTCAACGAAAATACAGAGGGTTGCTCACTGCCTGAACGACTTTTTGTTCTGCTAGTAAATTGTCGCAGCATAAAAAATAATGTCGGTAGCTTCATGTCTTTGATAGCTACCATTAAGCCCCAAATTGTAATGGGCACTGAATCATGGTTGGAAGACTCTGTGTGTAATGTAGAAATCTTTCCGCCAGGTTTTACTGTCTATCGGAAAGATAGACTTGGGCATGGCGGGGGAGTGTTTCTTTTAATATCAAATACATTGCCAAGCACTGAATTTTTTTTTTGAAAACGACTCAGAATATGTCTGGTGCCTCGTGAATTTACCCAAGGGAAACAATGTCGCGTTCGGGACATTCTATCGCCCACCGGGCAGAAGCGAGTCGTTCAGTTTAATGTCTGATGCGCTATCTGTTATGCCTAACAGCATATTTCTTGGGGGAGATTTTAACTTGCCGAATTTTAGATGGAGTGCTGGATGTAGTATTGGTGACGGTTCCTGTATCTACTTAGAGTTTGAAGAACTGCTCGGATTGTATGACTTACAACAGTACGTGCTGGAAGCTACACGAGAAAACTCAATCTTAGACTTGGTGCTTTGCAATGAACAAAACTTAGTATCAGGGATTACCGTGTGCCCAGGTATTAGCGATTACAGGGCTGTTGCCGCAGAGCTTAGCGTACAGCGTGTACGGACATCTCAGGCTCCACGAAGAAAAGTGTTCAGCTATGACAGAGGAGATTATGTTGCTATTAGAACTGAACTAGAAAATTTCTTTCCTACTTTCCAGCATATGTCAAAAGCACACTGTCCGTTGGCTCTGTGGTCAACATTTCGTCACAAAATGCTTGGATTGGTTGAAAGTCATGTTTCATGTAGATACTTGTGTAAAAAGAAAACGCATAAACCTTGGTTTAACGCAGAACTACGCAAACTTGTCAGGAGGACGCACTTATAAAATATTTTCTGCTAATTCTAGTTTGATAAACCACAATCACTTGGATGAAATAAATAAATTATTAAAAGTAACAATTAAATCTGCAAAAGATTCTTTCTTTGTTAAATTAGGCAAAGACCTAAAAGAAAACCGACGGCATTCTGGAAGTATGTAAAGCAGAACCAAAAAGAAGATATATCTATACCAGCCTTAACTGTCGACGGCAAAGCCGTGACGACAGACTACCAGAGGGCAGAATGTTTTAATCAATTTTTTCAGTCAGTTTTTTCGCATGAAACTGCCGAGCAGGCATCGCTTCTAAACAATGCCGCCCAGAGCAATATTATGCCAGACATTCAAATTGATGTTAGAGGCGTCGATTCATTATTACGCCGCTTAGATGCAACAAAAGCCATTGAACCTGATGGACTGTCCCCAGTAGTTCTCAAAGAGTGTCATGACGTTATTGCTCCATGTTTAAGTATCACCTATGAACTCTCCCTCGAAACTGGTCTTATTCCCCAAGATTGTAAGACAGCAAACGTTACACTCGTTTTCAAATCTGGAGATAAAAAACTCGGAGAAAATTACAGACCGATCTCATTAACGTCGGTATGTTGCAAAATATTTGAACACATTTTACATACCAATATATTTAAATTTCTTGATTCAGACGCTTTAGTTACTCCCTCCCAGCACGGTTTTCAAAAGGTTATTCCTGTAACACACAACTAATAGAATTTCAGCATTTCAAAACTCACTTTTTCGGTAGTTCTTTTTTCGTAAAAACAATACAGGAATGGAACCGTCTACCGGATGATCTCTTCAATGAAACTGATAATGAATCCTTTTTATCTTCATAGTAACAACTCCTACAATATCACTGCCACTAAGAATGGTTTGCTGTCTCGAAGCGCGTGTGTGTTTTCAAATGCATGACTGTGACGTTGTTTTCACTCACCAATATTCGAGTGTTTTTTTTTTCTCTCTTAAAATATTTTGAGTGCTGTTTTATTTGTTGAATCTATTGTTTCGATTAAAAACTATGTAGTCAAATTATTATGTGTACCTCCCCTACGTAATGCCTCATGGCAATGTAGGTGAAATGTAAATAAAAATAAAATAATAAAAATTTCGTATTCTAAGCTATTGATAACAATAGTCGTATAGACGCGGTTTCTATAGATTTCCAAAAAGCATTTGACACTGTGTCCCATAAGCTCTTGGATGTAAGGCCTGCTGCATTGGGCATAAATAAAAAGGTTCAAAAGTGGATACGTAATTATTTGAATGGTAGAACCCAGTCCGTTGTCTTAAATAATGTCAAATCTTCGTCCATAGCAGTAACTTCGGGCGTTCCCCAAGGGAGCGTTTTAGGACCCTTACTGTTCCTAATCTACATAAACAACATAGTTGAAAACAATACATCACCCATAAAATTATTTGCTGATGACTGCGTCATATACAGAGAAATCACGACTGAATCTGATACTTGCGTTTTGCAAACCGACCTAGATCACATAGCGGACTGGTGTAAAGAATGGAAAATAAATTTAAACATTGAAAAGTGTTGCAGTGTAAGCTTTTTAAGGAAAATATCCAAATCATTTCATCAATATAACATCTATAGCGTACTTATTAACACACACTGCGATTATAAGTATCTCGGTGTTCATTTTACTGAATCGTTTACATGGAACAAACACATTGACACGGCCATAGCAAAAGCTAGTAGGATGTTATACTTTATTCGAAGAAATTTCAGACAGGCGACGCGCGAAATCAAGGAAACTTTATATTTTTTGCACGTCAGGTTCATACTTGATTATGCATGCGTAGTATGGAACCCCCACCAAGACTATCTTATAACTAAAATAGAAAAACTTCAGAATCAAGCGGCAAGGTTTCTTTTAAATATTTATAGCCCCTACGCCAGCGTTTCACAAATGAAGGCCACTTTGGGATGGGATCTGCTACGTGTACGTAGACGAAAACCACGGCTCAAACTGTTGCACCAGATATATTACTTTAACGCAGGAATCAATCACCATAGCTACCTTGTTCAACCCCCCTACACATCCACTTGCTGTGACAATAGCAAAAAGATATCTACCTTCAAATGCAGATCCAATACTTTTTTCCACTCATTCTTTCGAAAAACAATAAGAGAGTGGAACAGCTCAAGTGCAACTTGGTTAATATAACAAATAATGATTTATTTTTTTCTATGCTGTGAAATTCTTCTTGCATTATGTATGTTCTGTGTGTATGTAAATGTATCTTGTGATGCATTATTATGTTCTGATAAATGTGATGATGGTTCTTTTTTTTATTTTTATTTTTATTTTTTTATGTGCATTATGTATTTTGCTACGAATTCCTTTGTACAGACTGTTTTTTGTTCTCCCCCTACGTAATGCCTATATCGCGATGTAGGTACCCTGTAATTAAATAAATAAATAAATAGGAAAAGACTGTATGAACATAGAGCTAAAATGCAGAAAACCGCGAAGATGCAACACTACCGGTGTAGGCAACAATGCCTGAGAGCATTTAATTGCACACAAAACAGCCAGTTATCATCCACGTGGATGCACATGGCTCAAAACACGTGGGCATTAACAGGGCAAGAATTCCGTGGCGTGTTGCAAGACCCACATGGACAAACATTACTTACCATTAAAAAAAAGTATGAAGTTACACACCTGTCATTGACGTCGATGCAATTAACGATTTCATTGGCAGCGTACAGTGCCTCATAAGAACGAATGCCATCCTTGGGCAACTCCCTCGCCATCTCAGCCAAGAGCTCCAGATCAGTGACCAGAGCGTCGACCTAGAATGGGGAAGAAAAAGAGATAGAAAAGCCGAGCTGCAGTGTGCGCATCATGTTACAAAGACATTTGCACATGTAAATTACGCGGACATGGCAATGGGCAATGGTGTAAATCACGAAGGTGGAGGGGGTCCTTGTGTCCAATCTTGAGATTTATCTTTTTAAAGACATTTTATAGACATTTAATTGGTTAACAGCTACAGGACATTCAACTTTTTTCAATGACTGTTTAATTTGTAGTATGTACCTGTGTTGATTCATGTCAACTGTGTGATACTTGAATCACTATTGCAGCTTGACTGGTTTCCCGGGAAATTGAATACCATTGCAGCTAAGTGACCTGGGTGGCCATGTTTACTCATTTATTTCTTTTATTTATCTATTTACAGTATACTTCAGTCGCAAGACGAAGCAAGGGTGCATAATTCCCAGTTTAACTCTCATACAACGAAATTTCAAGCAATAAAGATATCATAAGGCACAGGAACAAAAAATAAATGAATTAGAATGACGGCAAGATGATATAAATTGCAACTACAGAATGCAAAGCAAATGCACTGTGAACAGCTGGGAGCTTATGTTGTATTGATAGGGAGAGAAACATACATAATTATCCACGTTCAGATTATCATTATCACAGAATGCTTCAAATGATAACTCGTTCCACTCATTGATGGTCCGAGGAAAGAAAGAATTCATGAGTGTATGCACTAAGTAAGGTTGAAGAGTCTCCTGCATGCAAATGCCTAGTTTGTCTTGAAATTCGATTTCTTATGTGTGTTTCTGGACAAATGCTAGATTTATGAAAACAAAGCGAGTGTGAAAATTTCAGCCGGGTTCTATCGGTATTCTAAAGTATGGATGTTATTAATGGTCATGATCGTTGTTGGCACGTAATTTTTGCGGTAAGCATTAAAGACGAAGTGAACCGCCTTATGCTGCACCACCTCAACTTTCTTAATATCTTTCCTTAGATGTGGGTCACAAACAACACTATTATAGCCCAACTTCTGTCCTACAAAAGCATTGTGGACTGACAGTTTTATTTTTGAAGGTGCTGTTTTTAATTTTCAAGACCAAGCTTTCTAGAGGCAGATGAGCATGCTTTTTTTTAATGTGATTTGACTATGTTAGGCGGTTTGTAAATGCAACACCTAAGTATTTATATTCTTCAATCTCAGTCAAGGGACCGTAATTATGATTATATATATAATTTATCCAATGGTGTTTTTTATTTGTTATGTGAATCACAATTGATTTATCCCTATTTCATTTCTTTGACCATTCTTCGCACCACTTAGAAATGCCATACAGGCTGTATTGCAGGCATTTCTGCTCATCAGGAGTAGTAATTGTTTTAAAATATATGCAGTCATCTGGAAAAAGCTTTATGTCCACTTGCAATGCATCTATTCATTTACCAATGACACTTATGTACACTGAAAAGAGAACAGGTCGCAAAACACTACCTTGAGGGAAACCGAACGATACTGGTAGAATACCAGACATGTAGCAATTTAACATACAGTTTGCGATTATGAAGGTAAGAACAGATCAAGTCAGTGAAGTTAACAGGTAGCTGTAGATTATGCAATTTAGAAATTAGTTTGCTATGAGTGACAAGATCGAATACTTCACTTAAATCTGAAAAAAATAGCATCAATGTGATTCCCTGTATCAATCAACGACATGAACTCATAATTGTTGTGACTATAGTTGCATTGTCGGTATTTCTTTTCTAAATCCGTGCTGTGATGGCGACAGCGAGCTGTTTTCCTCAAGAAATATAGTAATGTGTAGGAAGACACATTACCAGCGTACAGCGTTTGGTTCCCCACATATATTATTTATCTCTGCTCTGGCATGGACGTCCACAGAAGCTGTGGTTCTTGCTGGCATCTTCTTCTCTCGTGCTGGCTCGAACATGCGGAGCAGCTGTGGCACAACTTTTTCATTTTCTGCGAGACGCTGACGGCTTGCCATAAGGCCTTCCCTCTAGCGAGGAAGCTCGTTGATTTGATAGATATGTGGGGTTTAACGTCCCAAAACCACTATATGATTATGAGAGACGCCGTAGTGGAGGGCTCCGGAAATTTAGACCACCTGGGGTTCTTTAACGTGCACCCAAATCTGAGCACACAGGCCTACAACATTTCCGCCTCCATCGGAAATGCAGCCGCCGCAGCCGGGATTTGAACCCGCGCCCTGCGGGTCAGCAGCCGAGTACCTTAGCCACTAGACCACCGCGGCGGGGCGAGGAAGCTCGTGCGCCATGGAGCGAACCTTCTGAGCAGGTTGTAGGTTCTGCTATTGCGAAGCGCATTCGTCTCGTTTTCGCGAATAGCTTGTAGTCTTCGAGGGCGGCGTCAGTGTCGAGGAAAGCGGGCTTTATGCGATCAACGGAGACACTGTCTTCGCGTCCGTTAAGCAACAGAACGAAATGCTTCAAGCAACGCTTGACGACCTTAAAGGGTCTGTCGTAAGGAGGTTGCAGTGGTGGTCTGATTGTGTCATGTCGTACGAAGACGTGGGTGCAGTCGCGGAGCACACGACTGACGAAACTTGGGTGTCAGTGTTGACGTGCAGAAATAGGGGACACATCTCTCGTGGCATTGCTGAGGCGACTGGCATATCAGCTACGTCCAATGGTGATACCATTGACATGTCAAAAGATTTTCCAGGAAGCCTTAGGGTAGTGCAAAATACGAGTACAGCTGAGGAGCAGGACGCATCCATTAGTATCGTGCTGCGCAGAGTGAAGAGGACGAGTGGTAATCACTCCATCCAGAGTATCGACGATTGCAAGGCCATGAGCAAAGCTTTGAGTTGGCGGTTAAATCGCTGAACCATGCCATTCGACATCGGGTGGTAGGCCGTCGTCTTGATGTGGTAGACACCAAGCATTCAGGACAAAGTGCGGAAGAGCGCGGAGTCAATTTGATGACCACAATTCGTTGCGATGGTTTATATAACTTTGTAGCGGCTTATTCACACGGTGATGAGTCCGTGGGCGATTGACTCAGCCGTGACGTTGGTGAGGAGTAGTGCCTCAAGCCACTGCGTGAACCGGTCTAGGCAGGTTGAGTTTGAGTTTGAGTTTATTTAACCAAGTGACAAGTACACGAAAATATACTGTATACGTGGTTTGGTGCGAAGGGAAAAAAGCTGCCTTTCACAGCTTGACTGGCCCCTTCGCCCAAAAAAAATCTAAACTACAAATTTACAAAAATACAAAAATTACAGGCAGCGGAAAGCGACAATACAAAAAGAAACACGCATGTGGCCCATGACAGCAAATAATAGAATGACAACTCTGAAATACATACAAAAATATTCATAATAAAGCAATGTATGAAAGAATAAAAACCGAATAACCATTACAGAAATCACCCAACATTCATTTACAACACAATCAGCACATCCGATTTAACATTTCAGTTTTAGACAATATACGCAGATTACCAGTTGTTAGTTTCCATTTGTTCATCACACTTGGAAGGCGGTAACGTAGTGTTTCAAATCCATAGTTTGTGTGAGGACAAGGTACGTGCCAAGTCTCCGTACACCGAGTAACGCGACTGGCAGGATTTGGTTGCAAGGTAGCCAAGGTGCAAAAAAAGATACTTTCTCTGCGTATTTCTGATTTAAAAGCTGACAAAAGCTGGTATTCGTAATAACAGGTAATTCTTAGAATTCTGTATTTTGCAAATATGGAAGCAGTGTGTGCATTATAGGATACACCTTCAATGCACCGCAAGGCATTTTTTTGTAACACGACCAGGTTCTTTAGAGATGCTTTAGAGCCTGTAGACCAGACCAGATGACAATAGTGTAAATGTGAAGAAAAAAGAGTACAAGAGTTAGTATATACAAGCTGTTTTGCCATGGAGGCAAAGGGCCTACGAGATCCAGGTTTATGTGACTGAACTGCGAGCCAGGAGGCGTGAAAGTACCCAGTGGGCTGACCGTGTTGCGCTGGACTGTGGTTAGCTGGCATTTGAGACAAGCACGCCTCCAGCGGCAGACGCCGATGTTCATTCAAGGCTATAGGTATCGCCCTGTGATGAAACGTTGAGTCACACATATACCGGGGTGCAACAAAGAATGCAAAGCGCCGAAGACTCTGCGGCGAAATGGTGCTGGAACGTAAGGGCGAGGACAACCGGTCGAGATGTCGCAAACGAGGGAAATCTTGCAGCCTGGAAGTCAGACATTTTCGAACTTGAGGAAATTCTCTTGGAGTCGCAACACCTGAAGCTCGCTGTCATCCTGTTGTGCAGTAGCCATACTCATCCAAAGTTGCGTTGATTCATATTCGAGAAAGCGCGTCAGCGACGTGGTTGTCTTTGTCACTGATGTGCCGGATATCACTCGTGCACTTGGATATGTAGGCAAGCTGGCGGTTCTCACCTGGGGTGTGGGCAGAGTTGGTAGCAGTGGATTGACACGTAAGCGGCTTATGGTCGGTGAGGATATAGAACTGCCGATCTAAAAAGTGTCGAAAGTGCTTGACAGCCAAATAGGCCACGAGCAGTTCGTGACCGATTGTGCTATAGTGACGCTCGGTCTATAAGAGTTTCCGTGAGAAGAAAGCGATCAGCTGCCAAACTTCGTCAACCAACTGCTTTAAGACTGCTCCTATGGCGACGTCCGAGGCGTCAACTGTGAGTGACATGATGGTGTCGCTCTTTGGATGTGCGAGGAGCGTTGCGTTAGCCAGAGCTTCCTTGATGGAACTGAAAGCTGTCTCTGCAACGCGCATCCAGAAGATGGAAGCGTTGGGCTTCATTTCGCCGGATAGAAGTGCGTGAAGTGGTTGCAAGATGGCAGTGCGATGAGGAATAAACCACCGGTAATAGTTGGCAATCCTGAAGAATTCACGTAGTTTCTTCGTATTTGTTGGTTGTGGAAACTGCAATATAGCTTCAACAAGCGCAACCGGTGCAGAGATCTAACGCGAATCTACGTGATGGCCAAGAAAGTCCAGTGAGGCAATGCCG